TCAAGTCCAACACCTATTGTGTTTTATTAGGAGAGGCACAACAGTTCTTCTGTGGCTTTATAGCTAATATTTTTACTTACACAATTGAACAAAATCAGACAATATTGTGTCTAATAATTGTTATTATTAAATTGTAAATAAATATCACATTTGGAACTGGTCAGTGTTCAAAAAATGCTGGGAAATCACTTCATGTAGCCCTACAAGAGTGATTACTGATAAACTGTCTGAAAAAAATAGTCATGTTTTAGAGAAGAAAAAAATCACTCACTGACTTTCAAAGCTGCTACATAGTAACGACTTTCTACTTTGAGGACCTTGATTGAAATGTAGTGGAGTGAAAAGTACAATATTTGTCTTACAAATGTAGTGAAGTTAAAGTCAATACTGCAATACAATGGACAGAATTTGAAATCTGAGACTTTGTTTCATGTGAAAAGTACCAAAGCACAATGCTTATTGCGATTTATTGAATTGGGAGGTGCCCTTCAATGTTCCGTCCATTAACTGAAAACAGGATAGAATAATCGATTCTTGGGATTTAGAAATCGATATTGTTCCGTAAAAATGAGAATCGATTTATATCGAGATATTGATATTTTTTTACCCAGCCCTAATATTACTAAACAAAAATTAAGTTTTGATATATTTACGGTAGGAAATTTACAAAATATCTTCATGGAACATGATCTTTTCCTAATGATTTTTGGCAAAAAAGAAAAATCGATAATTTTGACCCATACAATGTTTTTTGGCTATTGCAACAAATATACCCAAGTGACTTAAGACTGGTTTTGTGGTCCAGGGTCACATATTAAGATGTTGCTGTCTGAGGTCTTGTGGAGGCTTGATCGTAGAGAGGAAGCATCAGCACACTGGAGGGAAGCCCATAGTACTTCAGATGCACCTAAGTCAGTGTAAGCTATCAGAAAAGCCAATATTGTTAACTCGTGTGATTAATAGTGCTGTCGCATCCAAAAGAAAAGTTTTTGTTTACATAATATGTGTGTGTACTGTGTATATTTATTATGTATATATAAAGACACACACATACAGCATATATTTTGAAAATATTTACATGTATTTATGTGTATATATTTATATTCATATAAATTATATAATATAAAAATATATTTAATATATAAACGTAACATATTTGTATTAAATATATACATGCATGTTTGTGTATTTATATATGCATAATAAATAGGCACAGCACACACATATTATGTAAAAAACTTTTATTTTGGATGTGATTAATTGCAATTAGTCGTTTGACAGCACTAGTGATAGTATACTCTTATCATAATATGACTTTTCACATGAAAGTTGAGCATCGTTGGAATCTAAGAGATTGTAACTGGTATGATGACTTGCGTTTCAGAAATGTGCCGCAGTATTTGCAGCTATGGCCAGATGACACAGCTTTTGACTTCAGTGAGTTGAAGAAGAAGATTGTGGAATACATTCAGGCCAAAAAGACATGAGAGATGTCAGAAAGGATGTTCTCTACTAAATTCTGCTAAATTGCACCATTTCGCTTTTTTGGTGTGTCCAAACCAGAACTGGGTACAGAAAAGACAGTTTGTGTTGCCTTATTTCCTTTTCAGATGTAACCAAGTAGCATTCCACTTGTCAGAACAAATGATTTGTGAGCTCAAGAATGCATCCAAACTGGTATCAGATTCTTTATAAAGCTTATGCTTGCCAATTTCTCTGATTAGCATCTTGTTTTTTATCTATGCTTTTTTTTTGTTTTGTTCATAATAAAAATGATTTGTAAAAAGTAATTCCATCAAGTTAGCATTTTTAAACATTATAATCAAACATTATAATAAGTTAGCATTTTTTTTAAACATTCTAATCATTTCTGATCAATGACTTAATCACCACAAATGAAATGAAATAGCCCCTCCTAACTTTACTTTCATGAGTGTCTGCAGAGCTGTTAGGAGAGGTGGAGGTGTAGCTGCTCTATTTAAAGATGTTTATCAATGCAAGCAAGTGTCATTTGGTCAGTATTTGTCTTTTGAATATCTAGGAATTGTGCTGAAAAGTGCTCTACGCATCCTATTTATCATTATTTACTGTTATCAATGATTTCCTCAGAGTTTGACTGTTTTGCTATTGCAGGGGATTTTAATATTCACATAGATAATGCAGAAATCAAAACTACAAAATAAATTATAACTGTTTTAAACACTTTTGACCTGTTTCAGCATGTGCATGGACCCACACACAATTGTGGACACACTCTAGATTTACTCATCAGTAGAGGTCTAAACAGCTCATCCATTGTTATTAAGGACGTAGCACTATCTGATCACTTCTGTATTTTCTTTGATACATTGATTTCTGCTACCACTGAATCTAGATCTGTCTCTGTCAGAAAGAGATGCATTAACGAGAACACTAGTGTGCTATTTATGAAGGCTGTATCTTTAACACCAAGCATTTCTGCAGACTCTGTTGATCTTCTCCTTGATTCCTTTAACTCAAAAGTTAATGTTATTGATGATTTTGCTCCTGCAAAAGTCAGTAAGAAGTCTGTCAGACAGCAATCAGCTTGGAGAAAATCAACAGCAGTTCAGAGTATGAAAAGACAATGCAGGAAAGCTGAGCAGATGTGGCAGAAGATGAAACTTGAAATTCACTATAGCATCTATAAAGACAGCCTTCGTGCTTTCAAAGTGGAACTAGCCAGAGGCGGACAAAGTACACAACTCTGTTACTTGAGTGAAAGTAGGAGTGAAAAGTACAATATTTGTCTTACAAATGTAGTGAAGTTAAAGTCATAAGTTTCCAGAAAAAATAATACTCAAGTAAAGTACAGATACTCAAGTAAATGTACTTTGTTACTGTCTGCCTCTGGAACTAGGCAAAGCAAGAAAGAAATAGTACAGCACCTTAAATCGTCAACCTTGACACACTTCCCACATTTTTTTTCAAAGGTGTGCTTAACTGTTTAGAAACAGATCTCTTAGAAGTGGTGAACACCTCACTTCTTTCTGAGACTTTTCCAAACTCCCTGAAAAATGCAGTTGTTAAGCCCCTCCTGAAAAAGAGTAATCTTGATAACATCGTATTGAGTAACTACAGACCGATATCAAATCTTCATTTTATAGGCAAGATTATTAAAAAGGTTGTTTTTAATCAGCTGAACAACTACTTAAACTCAAATGGATACCTGGACAATTTTCAATCTGGTTTCAGACTGCATAACAGCACAGAGACAGCGCTCATTAAGATAATAAATTATATTCGCTTTAATTCTGATTCTGGCAAAATATCAGTGCTGGTACTACTAGATCTCAGTGTTGCGTTTGACACTATTGTCGATCATAACTAACATACTACCAGAGAGACTGGAAAACTGGGTCAGGCTTTCTGGGATGGTCCTCAAATGGTTCAGGTCATACTTAAAAGGGAGAGGTTATTATGCGCGTATAGGTGAGCATACCTATATGGCGAGCTTACGTCTAAGTGGACGTTAATGAAATGCGGAGTCCCACAAGGATCAATTCTTGCTCCGCTCTTGTTTAGCCTGTATATGCTCCCACTAATGCTCACTGAATATAAACCTAACAGACCACTCAGATCATTAGGATCGAGTCAGTTAGAAATAACAAGGGTTCACACAAAACAAGGGGAATCCGCTTATAGAGCTATTATGCAGTTATTATTATCCTGCAGTTGGAATCATCTTCCAGAAGAGATCAGATGTGCTAAAACATTAGCCACATTTAAATCCAAACTCATATGTTTAGCTGTGCATTTATTGAATGAGCACTGTGCTGTGTCCGAACTGATTGCACTGTATTTTATATATAATAGTTTTCTATTCTTAACTGTTTTAATTCATTTTCATTTTAAATCAATTTTAGATCATTTTAAAAGTTTTTAATTTCCCATTAATTTAATTTATTGTTGTGATTATTTTTTATGATTATTTTAATTCCTTTTATGTAAAGCACTTTGAATTACCATTGTGTATGAAATGTGCTATACAAATAAACTTGCCTTGCCTTTGAAAGGAATAAGCTCTGAAAAAATATTTTATTTAACTTAAAACTGTTATATAACTTGGTTCTTATTTCAACCAATAGAGTCACATGTAAGTACATTTTATATGACAGTAATAGTATATATGCATTCACTACATTGTTCTGCATTACAGCTCATTTCAATTATTACACAACATATTCTGGAATACATATATTTGGTGTTTTGTGTGCTTTTGAGATTACCTAACTTGTTGGGAAACGTGACCTATTTGGCAATTGTTTGTGGCATTTTGACACTTCGACTCAGCGGAGTATCAGTTTAATCAGGCCGTCCTGAGCCAATCCAAAAGAGACAATTCACAACGCAGCAGAAAATACACCAATCACAATCAACCATGAAAGCCACCTGGACCAATGGTGCTTGCGCTTTACCACGTTCGGACCGCGATTGGCCAATCAGTCCACACAAGAAATCGCACCGTGTGCTCTGATTGGCTCGTCCTTCAATGGGCGAGGAAACTTTTCCCCGCAGAGTTGATGTTAGCAGGCTAATCCAGTGCAGAGGTAAAAAGCTAGTGAAGGTTGGAATCGGTCACTCAAGAGAGCTTCTCATTTCCATCAACTATTTATATCTTTTTTCGGGAGAAGCAATATGGCTTCGGGTGGAGAGTAAGTACAATATTGTTGATGTGATATTTAGTGCGATCATAGTTGTGTTGATTTTGTTGAGTACCAGTTAGCCATGAAGCTAAAAGACGAACGCATCATAAACGGTGATCAATGAAATGTGCGAGTTTACACGCTACAGGTTTCTCATCCGAGCGCACGTCAATTTATATAATTTCGCTCTCTTCAGATACTAACGTTTTTATCACTCATTAAAACTTTTGCGGGAGTTTTAATGCGACTATGGCTCCAAGATCAGCTTTGTTTAGCATGGAAGCTAACCGGACTCAGTCATCTCCGCATATGATGTGGAGGCTTTGCAGAGTTGATGTTAGCAGGCTAATCCAGTGCAGAGGTAAAAAGCTAGTGAAGGTTGGAATCGGTCACTCAAGAGAGCTTCTCATTTCCATCAACTATTTATATCTTTTTTCGGGAGAAGCAATATGGCTTCGGGTGGAGAGTAAGTACAATATTGTTGATGTGATATTTAGTGCGATCATAGTTGTGTTGATTTTGTTGAGTACCAGTTAGCCATGAAGCTAAAAGACGAACGCATCATTAACGGTGATCAATGAAATGTGCGAGTTTACACGCTACAGGTTTCTCATCCGAGCGCACGTCAATTTATATAATTTCGCTCTCTTCAGATACTAACGTTTTTGTCACTCATTAAAACTTTTGCGGGAGTTTTAATGCGACTATGGCTCCAAGATCAGCTTTGTTTAGCATGGAAGCTAACCGGACTGAGTCATCTCCGCATATGATGTGGAGGCTTTCGGCCCACCGGCATCACCGGCGACTGCTCGGATAAACGCGTACAGCACACTTAAACGACCCGTATACCGCTTCATAAAGATCGATACCTTTAATTCTCTATAACCAGTGAAGCCGTGAATGAGCAGCAAAGCGAGCTAAAGCGTCAAACCGGCTTTGTGTAAATGCATCTAGTAACAGGTGATGATTATAAATCCCGTGATCTGGAAATTTCAGCCATCAAACCGAAAACGGCTTGACAAGATGTGACGTTAAAAACGTTAGATACTAACCATACCTGACTCTAAAGCTTTTTATAAACGCGAAAATGCTTGTATTTAAGCGGTTTAAGCTTCACAAGTCACACAGCAGCATTTGCTGTGTCATTGGCCACTGGAGATGGCTAACTGCTGCTAGCTCGCATCACACACTCTGAGAGGAATATAAATCATCCATCCATCTACCTGAACAATACATGCTTAGTTTGCGTTCACGACAAAAAACTAACACTTGTGTGAGGGAGGTAATTGTACAGTTCAGTAGTATTTAGAGACGTAACGTGTTGTCTGTTAGCTGTGACAGTGCTGTTAGCTTATTTACACATACGCTGTTGGCCGCAGCCTGTTGACGTCTGGTCTGCCTGACAACTCTTTTAGTTTAGTTTCTTTTGTCCACTGTCTTTTCAGAAAAAACATATAAGCCTATATCTGAAATTGTTGAATTATGCGGGATCAGCTACACTAAGGCCTTGCTCACGATCGCATCCTGGCCTAAATCTAGCGGATCATTACGGCTTTCAGTCCAGTGTTTTGTGGAAAGCTCTGGAGTAACTTGAGCTTGACAAACCTGCAAATGAGCAGAAATGCACTTATCCATCGACTCCATTGTAACAGACAGGATAATAATGTAATGTTTCTCTCTCTTTTTTTTTTTCTACATGAAAGTACTACTTCATATGAAACGTAACGTATGTTTCACTTTCGCCTCAAGTGATGCTGGAAGAAATAAAAGTAGCAACTATCTGTCTCTGGTAACCACCTGAGAAATGTAAAACATTGTTATAGGGACAATTCACATGACAATGAGAATCATCATTTAATCTCATCCATTTTGTTTTAAAACTTAGTAAATTTGTTCTGTGGAACACAGGAGCACATGCTTGTTCAAAAACAGAACAAACCGTGAACAAAAACTGTTGTTCAAACCCCCCACCCCACCACCTTTCTGTGCCAATAAAAGTGAATGGTGTCTGAGACTGTCAACTGTCATGTTGCTGCACATCTTTTGTGCTTTACTGAGGGCCTCAGGTTACTTAAAATTATTTAATTAAAACAAATCAGTTTAAATACTGGAAACACAAATTGTCGTATAAACTGAGATCACATTTCCCCCTCTAACTATTGTTTTTATTGAAGAACATGCAGAATATTCTGGAATATTTTTTCACCCCCCCAAACAGCATCATTGTCATAATTACAACTGGAATACCAGAGGAAAACTTTTAGCCAGTATGAGGAGCATCTGAATATGGCATTGGACAAAATTGGTCCTTTGATAAAAAGTTGAGAGCCCCTGCTTTAAAATGTTATTTTCTATACAGATCCAAAAATGACGATCTTTCCACTGCCATTCTGAAGCAGAAGAACAGGCCAAATAGGTTGATTGTTGATGAATCCATCAATGAAGACAACAGTGTTGTGTCTCTCTCTCAGGTACCATCTTGAGTTCCATTTTAAATGTATAAAAATTAGATCCTTCTTCCTTTTTCACTTGTCTTTATGTGCCCAACACATTTTCTCTGCTCTTTCAGGCAAAGATGGATGAGCTCCAGCTCTTTAGGGGGGACACAGTGCTGATGAAGGGCAAGAAGAGGAGGGAGACCGTTTGCATCGTCCTGTCTGATGACACCTGCTCCGATGAAAAGGTTCGCATGAACAGGGTGGTCCGCAACAACCTCAGGGTGCGCCTTGGGGATGTCATCAGGTAAGACTGTTTTCTGTCTAAACTTTCATTACATATAATGACTAAAATTGACTAAAATACAACATTCCCAGCATCTGTCAGAGTTATTCTAATTGGCAGGACTATAATACTAGCTATTTCAAAATATACCTCTGAATCTATGGATCATTCATTTGTTCCGCTTTCTGGTTTTCAGTATTCAGCCATGTCCAGATGTGAAATATGGAAAGCGTATTCACGTTCTGCCCATCGATGACACAGTGGAGGGCATCACTGGCAACCTGTTTGAGGTCTATCTTAAGCCTTACTTCTTGGAGGCTTACCGACCAATCCGTAAAGGTAAATATATCTTTAAAAATTATTATAAAAGTAATAAGGTAATAGGTTCTTTATATTCTGTTCATGAAGTCAATTGTGAGATGTTACTTTTTATGTTTTCGATGTATGTACACTACCATGCAAAAGTTTGGGGTCAGTAGTTTTATTTGATTATTTTTTTGTTATTATTTTGGAAGACTTATTCGGCAAGAATGCATTAAATTGATTAAGTCACAGATTTTATATTGGTACAAAAGATATCCATTTTATTATTGGCTGCTGAAAATTCAGCTTTATCACAGGAATAAGCTACATTTTAATATGTATTTAAATGAAAGTTATTTTAAAAAGTAGCATTTCAAAATATACATATTTTTAAATTAAATTTATCCTTTGTGAGCAAAAGAGAATTCTTTCAAAAACATTAAAGAAATCCAAACATTTAAACAGTCTACTTAATTTGGGTTTATATGCACTATTATATACACAACTAACATAGTATATTTATATTAAACTGCACACTTTGTAAATAACATATCTATCTGCACACTAATAAACATATCTGTACATTTATCTAAACAATTACATTTTTTCCTATACTTATATTTCTGTATATAGTGCATTATTCAAATTTTTTTTTATTAAATTTTTTTTATTATATTAGTTTTATATTACATCCCTACTGTGTTATTCCTATGTATGTCTACACTATCATGTATGTCTGCACTATGTTTGTACTTCTACACTGGAAGCTCCTGTCGTCAAGTCAAATTCCTTGTGTGTGTAAACATACTTGGTAATAAAGCTCTTCTGATTCTGATTCTATTGTCTTTTTATTTAGTTTTTTTTCTCTTGTAAGTTTTGGCGCTTCTGTGGATTCAAGTTAAATTGGTGTATCGTGGTGCTTGGCGTGAAGTCTGATTTGTCACCTGATGGATTTAATTTGAAATGGCAGCTGTGTTTTAAAGACATAGTAAAATATTGTTTTGTCTAAGACTGCATGAACTGCAGTTGGTGTATAAAACAAATTTGAAGTGTTTTGATATTTCACAAGTTTGGTTTTGCTTTTTTTCCGTAGGTGATATTTTCCTGGTGAGAGGAGGCATGCGTGCTGTGGAGTTCAAAGTGGTGGAGACCGACCCCAGCCCATACTGTATTGTGGCCCCAGACACAGTGATCCACTGTGAGGGGGAACCCATCAAGAGAGAGGTCAGTAGATTGACAAGTGTTTTAAATTGTCATGGATTAAATTGGACTAAATGGGGTTAGGGCACATGAAGTGTGTTTGAATGTATCCGCATGCTGCCGCCCCTTTTTTGCCTGTTCTCGCAGTTTGAAAAACGACATTAAATTACTGAAAAGAGCACAGTGTCTGTTAACTAAAACTATTGAAGTCGGTTTTGTTCATTAAAATAAAGTTAAAATATAAATATAGGATAAAAACATTTAGAAGAATGTTACACAAATTTTAAATATTGCCTTGGCTACTAACTGAAATAAGGATGAAGTACTAAATCTATGAAAAAAAAAGATAAAACGCAGAACTGATTTTAAAATGAATATAGAAATAAAGACTATTTCAGAATAATACTTGCTCTTGTGATCACCATACCTGATTTAATCCTGAATATTATGTTCTGCTTTAACTGGAATCCAGTGGAATAACTTGAATGCACATTATTAGCAGCATGTACTATGAGAATGGTTTTTAATGAAAAATGTGCTATAATGTTCTTTATTTTAAAACATTCAGATAATTCTAAATTCTTGTTCAATTTTAAATGTTAAGCAGTCCGCTCCATTGCATATCACTACTTTAAAGCAACCTCTTATCTGAGATGCATGCGTGTGAATGTCTAATTGGGGGTTATTGCAGTAAATGGTTCTCATGTGTTTTCTCAGACTCATGGTGAGGTAGAGAGGCGCATTGTGTCTCAGCTGCTCACTCTGATGGACGGGCTGAAGCAAAGGGCTCATGTCATTGTCATGGCAGCCACTAACAGACCCAACAGCATTGACCCAGCTCTCAGACGATTTGGTGAGATCACTTTGCTCAAGTGTTGCTCTGTAAAGAAAAAAATCTTTTGCCAAGACATTTCCAGTTGATGTTCGGGCTTCTTGGTACAGGCAGTGCACCTTAGAAGGGAACATCTTGTGCTGATGTTCTGAATCTCTTGATTTCAGGGCGCTTTGACAGAGAGGTGGACATCGGCATTCCAGATGCTACTGGAAGACTTGAGATACTTCAGATCCACACCAAGAACATGAAGCTTGCAGATGATGTTGATCTGGAGCAGGTGTGTTTCAGAGGATGTCAGAACATTCAGTGCTTAATGACGATTTACTTTCAATTAAACTGGGTCTCCTTAATCAGGCACTGGCAGGAGCATCAAACCTGTTTAATTCTGCCCATCTTAGATTTTTGAGCCAAGTGGATAACATTTTTTAAATGCATCTCCCCAAAATGTATTTTCATGTCTCAATTTTGCAGATTATTTGCTGTGGACATCGGCATTCCAGATGCTACTGGAAGACTTGAGATACTTCAGATCCACACCAAGAACATGAAGCTTGCAGATGATGTTGATCTGGAGCAGGTGTGTTTCAGAGGATGTCAGAACATTCAGTGCTTAATGATGATTTACTTTCATTTAAACTGGGTCTCCTTAATCAGGCACTGGCAGGAGCATCAAACCAGTTTAATTCTGCCCATCTTAGATTTTTGAGCCAAGTGGATAACATTTTTTAAATGCATCTCCCCAAAATGTATTTTCATGTCTCAATTTTGCAGATTATTTGCTGGGGGTTTTTTCCCCCTCCTTACCTTTCCTCTGTGGAATGGAGGTAGAATAGAATAGCTATCAGGTTAATCTGCAGTTTTGTTTTTTTAACTTGCTTTTATATACTACTACTACTACTGGTTTCTAGGTCAGATTTGAGTCCCATTGCATGCTAAATTATTTAGGGCACCAAATGATTGGAGCTTGTGCCCCATCAAATATGGGTGCATAAGCAGTGTTATACATAATACTGTAAAAAAACAAAAAAACAAAAAAAAAAGCCATTTCAAAATAAATTTGTTTAATTACGTTGTTTTTGTGTTTGATTTTGACTTTGTTTTAAATATTACATTTTTTAGGTTTAGTTCAGTTTAATTTTGTTTCCCGTTAGAAATGTTTGTTTAAACTTAAAAAAACAATTGTTGTAAATGGCACTAAGTTTGTTTTTTTCCATCTAGTTTATTTTATCATCTTAATTCCAGTTAACAGCTCTTTTAATAGCTTTAGTTAACGATGATTACCTTGGTGCATTTTAATTTTTTCTTTTTATAAACCGTCCATCGTTTGCCTTTTAGGTTGCAAATGAGACCCATGGCCATGTGGGTGCTGATCTGGCTGCCCTTTGCTCAGAAGCTGCCTTGCAAGCCATTCGAAAGAAAATGGACCTCATTGATCTGGAGGATGAGACCATCGACGCAGAGGTTATGAACTCCCTGGCTGTAACAATGGATGACTTTAGGGTGAGGATCTTTAGTAACTCTTACAACTATCTGACCAATCAAATGTGAGGAAATTGCATTCAGAAACTAAAGAAATTATTGATTTGTCACCCTCTTCTACCTAACAGTGGGCTCTTAGCCAGAGCAACCCATCTGCCCTGAGAGAGACCATTGTGGAGGTGCCCAACATCACCTGGGAGGATATCGGTGGCCTTGATGATGTCAAGAGAGAGCTGCAGGAGCTGGTGCAGGTACTGAGCACATAAGTCTTGTTCGTATTTCGGACAACAAAATGTTCTCACAGCTACGTTTTAAAACTTTTACACATCCTTACCAATATTTTCTGTCCTTTTTAGTACCCAGTGGAACATCCAGACAAATTCCTTAAGTTTGGCATGACCCCATCCAAGGGTGTGCTGTTCTATGGACCACCAGGTTGTGGTAAAACCCTGCTGGCCAAGGCCATTGCCAATGAGTGCCAGGCCAACTTCATCTCAATCAAGGGCCCAGAGCTGCTCACCATGTGGTTTGGAGAATCAGAGGCTAATGTCCGTGAGATCTTTGACAAGGTATGTCATTTTGCATTTTCTATCAGGTCGTTTCTGACTGATTTTCAATGTGTAGTAACACAAATTATGTTTCTTAAAGGCTATGGGTCTACTGATCTTGTTTGTTCTTGCAGCAGCTATAATATGTAAATTAAGGATCCATTTTAAAATTGTTCTGCTGTCTTTGTCCTTCTCTAGGCTCGTCAAGCTGCTCCTTGTGTGCTCTTCTTTGACGAGTTGGACTCCATTGCTAAGGCTCGTGGTGGAAACGTTGGCGACGGTGGCGGCGCTGCTGACCGAGTCATTAACCAGATTCTCACAGAAATGGATGGTATGTCCAGCAAGAAGAACGTCTTCATCATTGGGGCCACCAACAGACCAGACATCATTGACCCTGCCATCCTCAGGCCTGGCCGACTGGACCAGCTTATCTACATCCCACTGCCTGATGAGAAGTCTCGCATTGCCATTCTCAAAGCTAACCTCAGGAAGTCTCCAATCTCAAAGGTGAAAGTGGATGTATTTTGTCATTTTTAAGTGGGGTTTTTATCTTGTTATTGGGTATTAATGTATTCCTTTTTTTTATTTTATTTTATTATTATTTTTTGTGTAGGACGTTGATGTGGACTACTTGGCCAAGATGACCAATGGCTTTTCTGGTGCTGACTTGACTGAGATCTGTCAGAGAGCCTGTAAACTAGCCATCCGTGAGTCTATTGAGAACGAGATCAGACGGGAACGTGAGAGGCAGACTAACCCTTCTGCAATGGTGAGATTTCATTGGTTGCCTAAATGAGTGCTTCTCTGACCTTTCTAAGTACTTCCTTTTCAAAGTTGAGCAAATTGAAGCATCTTTAAGTGGATTCCTAAATACTATGGTTTGATGGATTTAAAACTAGTATGGTAGTTTGGATTTCCTAACATGTTGGTTTATTGGATATTCAGGAGGTGGAGGAGGATGACCCTGTGCCTGAGATTAGAAAGGACCATTTCGAGGAAGCCATGCGCTTTGCCCGCCGCTCCGTCAGCGATAACGACATCCGCAAATACGAGATGTTCGCACAGACCCTGCAACAGAGCAGAGGCTTTGGCAGTTTCAGGTGGGATCTTAAGTTACGTTTAGTGGCAGCTTTTGTTATGAAGGAAGGAATGATGGAATTATGAAGGAATTTCTCTTAATGACAATATGAGCTCTGGGGATTAAGTGCGTTAATGGGATATTAAGATTGTCAGAATGTATTTGGTTTCCATGCATTCAGAATGCCCTATTTATATTTTTATTTATTTTTTAAATAAGATTCCCGTCCAGTAACCAAGGAGGAAGTGGACCAAGTCAGGGCTCTTCTGGTGGCGGTGGAGGCAACATCTTCAATGAGGACAACGAAGATGATCTTTATGGATAAATGTGACCACGTGGCTGACTCTCACAGGCCGCTCTTCATACAGGCCGCCATGTACAAAAGACAAAAAATTAAAAATTCCACATTTTTAGGACTGTGCTTTTTGTTTATTATTTTCCGCTTCTCCTCATGTCCATTTCCCCCTGTTTTTTATTCACCTTGTTCTCCTTCTGTCCACCTCTCCCCTCTGTTGATAGAGAAAAGCATGTAGCTGCTTGTGTTTTGCTCTGGTTTGTGAAAGGATGACTTCTGAGAACTTTAATCTTAACGTTCTGTGGGTGGGGGTAAATTTCAGTGAAAACCATACACGATAGTGTTTTCATTACCTTTTCACAAGCTATACGAGCAGCTTTAGTGGTGGGGTTTAATGCTAGGCTGTTAGGATTTAAAAAAAAACAACAAATTGCTAATGATTTCATTTTTTATGAATGTAGCATATAATGTATTACAAGTTTGAAAAATGTTAAATAAAATTCACGAAATGGACCTGATGTTGTGGTGTTTAATTTGTAGAGGTTTGTGAACATGTACAGATAATGATTATCTCCTAAATAAATGCTTTTAAAATTGTGGAAAAATAAATGTGCATTTGGATAGGATTTAGTAAAAAAAATTTAAAGGAAATTATATACCACTTCTAGGTAAAGAAAAACAACACTAGAGGGTTATTTTTTTTTATACGTGTCCTCTTTAAAAATGCACCACATTTTAAAAATTACCCAATGATTTCCTCTAGCAAATAACTTTGCTTTATAGTTTGCTCTGGCTTAAATCTTAGTTGTTTGATACGGTCATGTGTATATACTCTAGATGGGTTTGCCATACAATCATAAGAAATGGATTTAAATGCAGGTTTTTTTTGTTTTTTTTCCACTTTGATATTGCAGACATGGCAACATCAATCCTAAGAGGTTTACACATTTTCTATTGCATTTTATCAATATGAATCACTGAAAGGAAAATGAGGGTGCTTTGCATCTCTCCAGACTTTTTGTCCATCTTTCTGTGGAGTGAAAAAAACTTTTCAGTCACAACAGATATTTCAAAACTGTAACATACTGTATACTTAACCCATTTAATCCCACCGGTCGCAATTGTGACCACAATTTTTGCTCGCATATTTTTCTGTAGTATTAAAAAAAACCTCTTATTATGAAGCACATGTTCATATATAATGAAAATTTAAGATGTCTACATGAGTTCAGGGCAGGTCTAACATGATTGGGTAGTTTGGCCATGTGACCATACACATTAATTTCCTGGTACTGCCATCTTAATGGAAGGATGTCAAAGCTCAGAAATGACAGGTAAGTCTTCCAAGTAAATTTTTGAATAGCTTATACATTTTTTGTATACATCATCATTAAAGGGTTATCTATACATATTGAAATTATATTATTACATTCTGTTGTCAAACTGCTGATAATTGAAGATGGTCACAATTGTGACTGGTGGTATAACACGGAGTCTATGTACCCCATATGTCATTCTGTGTTATTCTGATGAACTCTCTTTCAGACTGACCTTAAGTCAAGTTTTGGATTTACTTGATGCTGATGATCCAGGGCCTGCAATTTGCAATATAGCAGTGGTTCCAAAGACAGAGAAGGATGCAATAGAAAGCGACTGTGATAGCGATGCATCTGACATGGATTTTACTGGTGACTCCGCTCACCTACCATCAAGAATCTTGAATTCTACTGCAGAACTGTTTAGATCTGATCATTTTGAGGAGGTTGAACCTGCCTGCGAGGACCAACCAAACTTTACAATCCGAACAAGAAGTCTCACAAAAAAGCTTGAATCTGCTTCATCCTCTTTATTGTTATCTTCAGATGCTACTACTGCCACCATACCAGTGACAAAGGCAGAAAGCATCTCTGCTCATCTGATTAAAAGGAACAACAAGAGTAGACATTTCAGAAAGTCCAAAAAAACAGCAAAAAGCCATTTGCCTGACTACATTGTGTATGAACCAACAGCAGCACAATGTCTAAAGGCAACAAATGCAAATCCATTGGATGTGTTTTTAGCAATGTACCCACCATCTCTGAGAGAGCTTCCCATAGAAATGTCAAATCTCTACTCTGCTCAGAACAAAGATAAACCTCTTAATTTAAGCATGGAGGAACTGCTGGTATTCGATGGTGTGCTCCTCAGCTCTGGATATTGTACTGTTCCACGACGGCATTTGCTCTGGTCACTAGATGATGATGTTCACAACAACAGCATCTCCAACGCTATGAGAAGAAACAAATTTGATGAAATTATGGCATCCATCCATGTTGTGGACAACACAAAGTGCAACGATGACCCCTTCTTTAAGGTGAGGCCAATCTTTCAGGAGCTCAATAGCTCATACAAAATTCTGCCAATCAGTAAGTGGCTGTCAGTTGATGAGAGCATGATTCCCTACTATGGGCGCCACGGGTACAAACAGTTCATAAAGGGAAAACCAATCCGCTATGGCTATAAGGTTTGGAGCCTGGCATCCTCAGGGGGTTACCTCTACCACATGGAGCCTTATGCTGGAGTGCATACCCTTCTTCAAAAGACCGGGCTAGGTCAAGGGCCCAGCGTAGTGCTGGGTTTGGCTGAAAAAGCTGGTGTTCCAGGAGGATGCAACTTCATGCATGACAACCTCTTCACCACATTATCCCTGATTGATGAGATGACAAAGCGAGGATATGGGTGCATTGGGACCCTGGGGCAAAACCAGTTGTTTGATGTGCCATTCAAACCAATTAATGAATTCCAGAAGTTACCGTGGGTCTCCACTGAATTTCTGTCTGAAGGAGAAAAGCTACTGGTGAGGTGGAGAGATAACAGTGTGGTCACTGTTGCAAGCAATGTGGAAAATGTCTACTCTGAGGCACCAGTTAAGAGATGGAACAAGGAAGGAAAGGCATATGACTACCTCCAGCAACCTCAAATAATCCGCTCCTACAAGCAGCAAATGGGAGGAGTAGATCTACATGATCTTCAGGTGTCTCGTTACCACAGCACAATAAGATCAAAAAAGTGGTGGTGGCCAATTTATGCCTGGACTCTCCACAGTGCTGTGGTCAACAGTTGGCTGTTCCACAGAGTTGTCATGAATGGTGACTACGATCTCCTTGGATTTCAGCGAGTAGTCGCCCAAAGTCTCCTGAAAAAATTTGGTATTGCACCAAAAGGTCATGGGAGGCCATCCTCAATGTTGGCTGCTGTGACTGATATACCCAGGTTTGATGGTGTTGCTCACTGGCCAATAAACACAGGCAAGCAGATTCTTTAAAGATGTTTTATGAACCATAACATCTGCAAATATGCTCCAAAAGCTATACAAAATAGAAATCTCTAAGTATTCCTTTTGTTTAGCAGGAAATAGGTTTGTCAGATATCGTGTCTGTGAGGGTCGCACATCATTTGGCTGTGAGAAGTGTGCCAGGCCAATGCACATTGAGTGCTTCAAGAAGTTCCATAACCTTAACCATAAACCTTAACCATAAAACATTTGTGATTGTTTTTTAATAATTCCACTGTTACGTCTGAGGGATGTGTCATCTAATCCACGAGTTCCAAACCAGCACACATTTGTGATTATTTTTTAATATTTCCGCTGTTATGTCTGAGGGAGGTTTCATCTAATCCATGAGTTCCACACCAGCACACATTTGTGATTGTTTTTTAATAATTCCACTGTTATGTCTGAGGGAGGTTTCATCTAATCCACGAGTTCCAAACCAGCACACAGTTGTGACTGTTGATTGATAATTGTTGTGACAATTGATTGATATTAATGTATTGTTACATGCTTCTTGACACTGTTACATGTTTCCTACCATAGGCTCATATTTCATCATATGTTTATTTATTCATTTTTTAAATTTATTCCTTAATTTTTAAAAACCTTAAGTTTTTTTTTTTCATTTTGTAATTTTACCTCAGCAGCTTATTTCGGTTTATAATGAAGTTTATAATAATTACCGTCTAAGTTCCTATAATTTGTCATTTTGTCATCATTTTATATATTTATTTGTGCCAAACTGCTGCATACAATTGATGTTTTGTCCTTTTTGAAACTGAGTCAGACAATGTTTACTTCTTTGTTAATGGAATAAAATACTTGTTTCAACAATTTAAACCAGTCTTTAAACTAATTTCTGGAGATGTGTCATTTTGTAAATGCATTTACGCTATAGGCCTAGACTCCCTGTGTTCTACTACCGGTTACAATTGTGACCAGACATAAAACCCATTTTTTTCATGGACTTTTCAATCATTTTTTAAAATAATTGACATTGATTGTTTAATATCCTTACAAATATCACACAAATTCATATATGTCATATCTGGGAAAAATTTGGGATTAAATGGGTTAACATATACTTGATACTCACCATTATAGTTGGAATGATAAGCCTCTCATTCTTGTTGAAGGATTCAATCACCTTCATGTCTTCATCCGATAATTTAAAATCAAAAACCTGTATGCAAAGGTGAGCAGTGATTATATTTACATAATTATCACTGTAACTCTTAAATCTCATTCAGCTGATATGTTCAAAAAATGCCACACCTGGTTTGATGTCAAATGTCATTGGTTCTCATGTCTCTAAAGCTATCACGAAGCACACACATATGAGATATGATAATTACAGGAAAGAAATTCACTAAATATTGACCTAAATTTATTTGGAAAGACATTTCATTTCTGGGCGAACTATCCCAATAACTTGTCGCCCTCTGTCCTCATTACAGCTCTTGTCCTCCAGGTGTCTCTGTATGTCCTCTCTTCTGTTGGCATTCTAAATAAGCACTAATGATGATTGACCTTGCTTAAACTCCTCCAGGTTTATTTAATTCAAGATTTGGTTACATGGAGGCTCAGGGATTAAATAACCTGCCAAGGCATTGAAGTTGAGATGCAAGAGCTCAGGTGCATGTGTTGAAATGAGGAGTCATGGAGGATGAATAATGTTTTAAAGCTTAAGTGTGGAATGTCTCTCACAAGCATGCCCAAATGGATTTAGAAAAATAATGATTGTTTTTAAACTAGGTTTTCTAGACAAACATTTACTGCCGCCCCACAATCACGTCATTGGTTGAGTCAGTGTTGAGGCTGTGATTGGCTGTTCTGGTTTTGCTGGCAAAGAGCTTTTTAGGAAGGTCAACCTCTTATGGTTGTCTCTGGATGGTAAAATGGAGCAGGAGAAAGTATTTTATAAAACGGATAGTTCCGGTCCTTGATTCTGATTGGTCATTCGAAACCATTGTAAATTACACTACAAACATACACCTTTGTTTACTTCTGTGTGTTGCTCGACAACCACTTTGTTGGAACCACAACTGTTTCTGAGGAACTACATTGTTTGGTGGAAGTATACTGTTTTTATTTATATCA